TAGGATTAAAGGTGGCCCCACCTACAATAAGCTGGACATTCTCACATCAATTATTAATTAAGAAAATGTACTGTCAGGCTGGAGAGATCGCTAGGCAGTTAAGAGCACTTGGCTGTCTCCCAGAAGTGCTGAGTTTAATCCCCGGCAACCACATGGTGGCTCACAACCATCCATAATGAGATCTGGTGCCCTCTTCTGTCATGCAGGGATACATGCAGACAGAACACTGTATACATAACAAAAGAATCTTGAAAGAAAGAAAGGAAGGAAAAAGTACTGCAGACTTGCCTACAGACCAATTTTACACAGAGATTTTTTTACAGTTGAGAGTCCCTCTTCCCAAATGACTCTAGCATATATCAAGTTGACATAAAACTAGCCAGCACACCATGCAAGCCTAGACACCTGAGTTTGGTCCCTGGAACCTATGTAAAACTGGAAGGAGAGAACTGATACCACAAAGTTGTCTTCTCACTGTGGTATAATCTTTCTGTATGCTGGGAATATGTGTTGTTCTCATTTGTTGATAATAAAAGCTGCTTTGGCCTATAGCAAGGCAGAATATAGCTAGGTGGGAAAACCAAATGATACCGGGAGAAAGAAGAATAGAGTAGAGTAGAAAGAAAGAACAGTAGAGATGCAAGCCAGCCACCAAGAGACAAGATGCCAGATGACTAGTAAAAGATATGACCATGGGGCAATACATAGATTAATAGAAATGGTTTAATTTAAATGTAAGATCTAGTTAATAATAAGCCTGAACTACAGGCCAAATAGTTTGTAATTCATATTAGGCTACTGAGTGATTATTTAGAAGTGGCTGTGGGACAGCAGGACAGAGAAACCCCCACTTACATCTTCTGACTTTCACATGCATACCTACACTCACACACACACATCATGCATATACACATACATAAGTAAACACACACAAATTTAAAAAAAAATAAGATTTTGGGGTTGCAGAGATGACTAAGCAGTTAAGAGTACTTGCTGCCCTTCTAGAGGACCCAAGTTCAAATCCCAGACCTCATATAACTCCATTTCCAAGGGTTCTGGCGCCCTCTTCTGGCTTCCTCAGGTACCAGGAACATAGGTGGTACATAGACATACATACAAGCAAAAAACCCATACACATAAAATAATTTTTGAAAATTAAAGATCCTTCCAGGCAGTGGTAGCACACACCTTTATTCCCAGCACTCGGGAAGAAGCAGGCAAATCTCTGAGTTTGAGGCCAGCCTCATCTACAGAGTAAGTTCCAGGGCAGCCAGGGCTATATAGAGAAACCCTGTCTTGAAAAAAAAAAAAAAATTAAAGATCCATAAATCAGCATGGTGGTACATACCGATAATCCCAGCATTTAGGAGGCTAAGGTCAGAAAGATCTTGATTTAAATTTTTTTTTTTCTCAAGACAACATTTCTCTGTGTTGCTCCGGCTATCCCAGAGTTTGCTTTATAGAGAAGGCTGGCCTTCAATTCACACAGATCACCTGCCTCTGCCTCCAGAGTACTGGGACTAAATATGTGCCCCACCCAAAACTCCTTGCTCAAAAAAATCTTTAGAGAGTGGGGTGTTGGCGGTGCACACCTTTAATCCCAGCACTCAGGAGGCAGAGGCAAATGGATCTCTGTGAGTTTGAGATCAACCTGGTCTACAAGAGCTAGTTCCAGGACAGGCTCCAAAGATACACAGAGAAACCCTATTTCAACAAAAAAAAAATTTTTTAGATGTCTCAAAAAAGAAAATGTGATTCATCCAGATGGGCAACAGGAGGTGCAGGTGTGGGAGGGTATATGTGTGAAGAAAGTTCTAGCTTAGTCCACCTATAGCTTCCAGTTATTCTCTGGTGTCAGAAGACATTAGTCAAAGCCCCTTAAGTGAAAAGTTATTCGTCAAGGAACTGGAGAGATGACTCAGCAATTGAGGTTCAATTCCCAGGACCCACATGTCAGCTCACAACTATCTATATATAACTCCAGCCCCAGGAGATCTGATGCCATCTGCTTGCTTCCAAGCTACTGCACCCACTTGGTGCACAGACACACATTCAGGTAAACACATATAGGCATAAATTTAAATTAAATAACATCTAAAAATAAAGTCATTTGTTCAGTACTGACTGTCTACAACAAATCAGTGTCTGCTGGCACATACCTTCTACCAGCCAGAGGGCTTTGAAACTTCCCATTGTTACCATAGTCCTATGCAACTCACACCCATATGCAATATTCTGCCCTCAGCTTGGACTTTCTGTCTCTCTCCCTCGACTCTCCCCCCCACACCTTTTTAAAGCATGAACTGTAGACCAGGCTGTCCTTAAACTCATAGATCCACCTGCTTCTGTTTCCTGAGATTAATGCATGCTCCACCACAGCCAGCTCTGCTTGGACTTTCTCATTCCATCCTAACTTGAGCTGTTTCTTTTTCTCTTCTGCTCCAGCAGCAGACAGCACCCAAGAGAACTACAGACCAGCTTGGGTCTTACAGACACCAGGGAAGATATAATTAGGTTTTCTTCTAATTCAGCACATGACCTCTGAGCTGCCATCTTGTCTTCTGACAAAAGAGTTGCCAGCTCAGTATCACAATCTTCCCTGCAAATATAACTCACCTCTAACTTTCCCTGGTTCACTCTGATCCATGGTGGTAAGAGCCTAACCCTGTATCCTTGTGGCCAGAACAGACAACGTGCAGGGGGTGGCAGAACCTGACAGTTGCTGGGCTCACAACCAGGTTACAGTCAGATAAAGTCCCCAAATGTCCCCAGGGAAACACAGGAAATAATTTCTCCCATTTAAAGTACACTTGGAGGAGGCGCAAGTTTTCCATCAGATGAAACCTCTTCCACTGTTGGATGGTGATGGGAGAAGGAGATAGCAGATCACTCTAGACGCTCCCATCTATGATCTTGGCTAATAGTAGTTGTACAAAAGACTTTCTCCCTTGTGATCTTGGTCCATAGGAATTTCTCCATCTGATGGTTCCTGGTAGCTTGTTTCTCTCTGACCCTTCCTTTGGGATTTTATTGTTGCACTATAAGCAGATTGGTGGATTGGCATTTTATTTTTTAGTGCTGGGCATTGAACCCATGGCTCAGGCATGATAGGTAAGGACTGGATTAACTCTTTATAACATTCTCTGTTTCCCAAGGCCTACTATCCTGGAAGACTGCCTCAATTTCTCTCAGATCCAACTTTGACTCCCTCCCTCCCTTCTTTCTTTCTTCTCTTCTCCTCCTCCCTCTTCATTTTTCAAGACAAGGTTTCTCTGTGTAACAGTCCTGGAACTAGCTCTGTAGACCAGGCTGGCTTTGAACTCACAGAAACCCACCTGCCTCTGCCTCCTGAGTGCTGGAATTGATTAAAGGTGCGTGCCATTACCACCCGACTCCAACTTTAACTCTTAATGCCTGAACTGGAGTCCTGGGACGGTTGTTTAGAAGCGACTAAACACTAATCAACAGGGGATGGGACGAGGAAGAACAATACCAAGGCCTCAAAGTTGATTACAAAGAAGTCTAAGAGCGACTGGGGAGGCTGCTGCAAGAGTGGGAGAGAAAGCACGGTCAGAGCAGAGAGATCAGGCTGGAGAGACTGCACAGCAGGTAAGAGGACTTGCTGTTCTTCAGCCAAATTCAGTTCCCAGCAGGAATCCCTGTCTTACAACTGCTGGGCCACACCCACCTGAACTTCAGCTTCTGGGGATCTGATACTCTTTTCTGGCTTCCCTGGACACCTGAACACACACACACACACACACACACACACACACACACACACACACACACACACACACACACCATGTAATCTTTCAAAAAAAAAAATACTGACAAAACATCAAAGGACAGAGGGGTTCCTGTGTCACATGCAGCTGAGAAGTTTAGGAAAATGACTGACAGCTACGAAATCACTGGAGAGCTGGGCTGTGGTGGGGATCTTTGTGAGTTCAAGGACAGTTTGGTTTACAAAGAGTTTCAGGATAGCCAGGACTGTTTCACAGAGAAACCCTGTCTTGAAAAACCAACCAACCAACCAAACAAACAAACCACTGCTCGGTGGCCTGGTGGAGTCAGAAGCAAGAACAAAGAGGATTTTCTTTTCATGAGTGTTTCTCTTAGCTAAGACAGAAATAAATTGCCAGCCTGGTCTGAAGTTGTAGTATAGAGCTATAGTGTAGTGGCTGAGCTCTGCCTTGTATGAATCAGAATCACAACTACCACAATCCCCAATATCTATCTATCTATCTATCTATCTATCTATCTATCTATCTATCTATCTATCTATTTCAAGACAGAGTTCTCTGTGTAGCTCCAGTTGTCCTGGAACTCACTCTGTAGACCAGGCTGTCCTCAAACTCAGAGATCTACCTGTCTGTACTGGGATTACATGAGTCACCACTGCCCAGCTCATTTATGTCTCCTTCTTTCTCCTCAAAGGTTTAACTATATAATAAAATATCTATTGAACACCTTCACGCCATGTTTCAACACTTACTTATTACCATTATTTGATTTCAGAATACCAACCAGCCTGTAGTCCTAGCTCACTGAGGTAGCCTGATCACTGTTGCCTGACAGGGCACCAAAGCAGGCACGCACGCCCTCTGCTGAATGCTCCACAAACTGCAGCCTAGCAATAGCCCGGCCTTAATTCTCAGAACCGCTTCAGGGCGAGCGAGCGCACACCTTTCTGGGAAATGTAGTTGGACATTTGAGTTAGAACTACAAATCCCTGCACACACCGCACTGGAGCTACCTAGTTGAGGGGGTGTTCTGGAGACCACCAATGCTTTTAGCAATGCTTTACAAACTTGACTCTTTACAGGAAGCTTTGGGGATACACTATAGCTTCCTTGACGCTGATGCATAGGCCGACTTTTGCTTCTGCAGCTTCCTCATTGTGGCGAATCTGCCGCTGCGGCACGAGGGCTAGACACCTAGAGAAGCATGTGGAATCGGCTGTGGGAAGTACGACGCTGAAGGTTCTGGGTTCCTTGCGGTCATGGCGGCCACTGCCCCGAAAGCCGGGTCTTCAGCTCCAGAGTCGGCGAGTTCCGCCGAAGCTCCGCTGCAATACAGCCTTCTTCTGCAGTACCTGGTGGGTGACAAGCGTCAGCCCCGGCTCCTGGAGCCTGGCAGCCTGGGCGGGATCCCGAGTCCCTCCAAGAGCGAGGAGCAGAAGATGATCGAGAGGGCGATGGAAAGTTGCGCCTTCAAGGCTGTGCTAGCCTGCGTGGGAGGTGAGGCGAGGTTCGTGGGACCCTTGGGAGGCTGAGAACTTGGAGGGACTTGGGGTTCCTTGCTAAGACCACGCGCCTGGGAGGGAGTCAAAGGACCTGTGGGTTTCGACCTTGATTGCACCGGGATTGGCTCAATGAACCCGAAGATGCTGCTCATGATCCTGGGGTTAGCATTCACAGTTGGGAGTTAGAACGGAGAATCAGAACTACGGTCAGGGCCCTGCATATTGTTCAGTGGATGCTTTCGTTCATTCATTTATTCATTCAAAAAGTTGTAACTGAGCAACTGTCGTGTGTCAGGCAGTGGAAATATGGATCAAAGTGGCAAGAGTCCTGATAGAGAATTTCTAGGACGTGGGCCGAAGAGTGCTGTAGACGCATAGGGAATTGCAAATGCAAAGTCATAGAAATTTGAAGTTCATTCCAGCACTCGGGAGGCAGATGGATCTCTGTGAGTTTGAGGCCAGCCAGCTCTACATAGAGAGACCCCCATCTTAAAAACAAACAAACCAAAACCAAAATTATGAAGGCCAGTGTAATTCGACAGACAGTCGGGGTTGGGTAGGATGGACATTAAGAAAAAAAAAACACACTTCCGGTGTGCAGGTAAAAGGGTTGACTGTATTTGTGGATGAGTTTAAATTTCATTGGGAATGAAAGACATTTACGAAATTCAAATAGCAGGAGTAAAAGTCTTAAAAATTGGGGATGAAGAGGCAGTCAGATCTGAGTTCCAGGCCAACTTGGTCTGTATAGTGAATTCCTGGGCAGCCAGGGTTACATTATAGAGACACTTGTCTTCAAAAACAAAACAAAAAACCGACCAAACAAAAAGCAGATCTTAAGTGTAATAGAAGAGAGAGTATTGGAGCTGGAGTGACTGGAAAGCAGGGGAGGGGAGGCAGTGTCTAGTTTCATTGAAATTACATTGATCTTTTTTTTTTTTTTTTTGAAATTACATTAATCTTGAGGTGATGAGAAGATATCCATAAAGACATACAGAAATGGCTAGGGACAAAGTGCATTTGATAAGGTGCTTGTCATGCAAGCATGAAGATCTGAGTTCAATACCCAGCATTCCTGTAGAAGGCCGAGAATGGCTGGGTGAGATGACCCAGGTGGTTAATCCCAGCACTAGAGAGGCAGATCTGAGTTTGAGGCCAGCCTGGTCTACATAGCAAGCTCCAGGACAGCCTACACAGACAGATTATATATGCTGTGTCTCAAATAGATAAATCGACAGATAAATAGATAAATGTCATTTATGCCTGAAAATGACTTGTAATCTCATTCCTGAGAAAACAGGCAGGCAGATCCTTGGGACTCACTTACCAGCCAGCCTAGTCTAATCAGTTACCCTCTTTAAAAAAGAAAAAGGTGGTTGGGGGTAGTGGCATCTGATTCAACTGCAGCACTCCAAAGACAGGCAGGTAGATTTCTGAGTTTGAGGCTAGCTAGCCTGGTCTGCAGAGCAAGCAAGTTCTGGGACTGCTAGTACTGTTACACTGAGAAACCCTGTCTTGAAAACAAACAAATAAACAAAACAACAACAATGAAAGAGAGAGAGAGAGAGAGAAAGGTAAATGGTTCCTGAGGAGTGACACCCCAGGATTGAACTCTGGCCTACACATACACACAAAGAAATGTTCAAGGTTTAGACAAGTCATTTGTTGACAGCAAACTAGGCTTTCCCATATAATAGTCATACAACTTTGGTCACAGTTACTTAACCTCTCTGAGCTTTGGTTTAGAGAGGACAGCTGGGTGGTAGTGGCATACATTGTTAATCCAAGCACTTGGGAGGTAGAGGCAGGTGGGTCTCTTGGGTTTGAGCTAGCCTATAGTACACTAGCAAGTTCTAGGCCAGTCAGGACTACATAGTGAGGTCCTGTCTCAGACAAACAAAACAGCCACTGTGAAAAATAGAGTATTTCAGAATATGTGGTAATGCCTATCAGGAGACTGTTATGGACATTGGCATGGTTAAGGGAATATATACAAAGCTGATATATATACAAAGCCACTGTAGAGTGGCTGGTCTACAGAGAACAGAGGGTTAAAGCTCCAAGGCTGGGAAATGAAAGGAAGAAATCCTAGGAGAGTGAGGGGATAGACTCTGTGACTGGAGGAAGCAGGATCAAGATTGAATAGCAAGAAACCAGAAAGGCCATTTTCAAGTGTCATCCCAACATGGTAGTCCAGAATGTGCAAAAGAACTCTTATCTCTGCTTGCTTCTAGGATTTGTCTTGGGAGGTGCATTTGGAATCTTTACTGCTGGCATTGATACCAATGTAGGCTTTGACCCTAAGGACCCTTACCGGACACCAACTGCAAAAGAAGTTCTGAAAGACATGGGACAAAGAGGAATGTCCTATGCCAAAAATTTTGCCATTGTGGGCGCCATGTTTTCGTGTACTGAGTGTTTGGTAGAATCTGTAAGTGCCTCTTGCTTTGCTTTTAGAAATCCATGTCTGTTGACATTGCATGTCTCCCCCCAAAGACAGGGTTTCTCTATATAGCACTGACTGTTCTGGAACTGGCTCTGTAGACCAAGCTGGCCTCCAACTCACAGAGATCTACCTGCCACTGATTCCTGAGTGCTGGAATTAAAGATGTGAGCCACCACTACCTGCCCCCCCCTTTTTTTTAAAGTAATCATCTTTTTAAAAAATATAGATTAAGGCCAGATGGTGGTGGTGCATGCCTTTAATCTCAGCTCTTGAGAGGCAGAGGCAGTTGGATGTCTGTGAGTTCAAGGCCTGCCTGGTCTACTGTACAAAGCTAGTCCAGGAAAGCTAAGGCTGTTACAGAGAGAAACCCTGTCTCATAAAAACAAAACATAGACACACACATATTAAAAATTTTGTGTGTCTTAGTGTTTTTGCCTGCATGTATGTATGTACACCATGTGAATGCCTGGTGTTTAAGGAGACCAGAGGAAGGTATTTAAGTCTCTTGAGACTGGATTTATAGGCAGTTGTTAGCTGCCATTTGAGCCCTGAGAACTGAGCCAGGGTCTTTCTGGAAGAGCAGCCAGTGCTCTTAACCACTGAGCCATCAGCCCCCATTACAAAACTTTTAAAAGAGCGGTGTTCTTAGTGTTGTTCCTGGAATGTCAAGCCTTAGTCAGATATGGTCTGTGTTTGCAACCTCAGCCCAAAGGAGCTGAAGGAGAAGAGCATGAGATCTGGGCCAGCCTGAGCTACATAGGAGGACTTTGCCTCAAACAAATATTTTTAAAATGTCACATTTTGGTCTAGATTAGTCCCTAATGTGAACTTTTTGCATATTTATAATAGGGCTTGCCTTTTTTTTTTTTTTTTTTTAAATCTTTTATAGGCAAAAAGTGATTTTTTTCCTTATTTGGTGCTGGAGTTTGAACTTGGGGCTTTATGCATAGAGGATGTGCTCTACCACTGGGTCACAATTTCAACTCAAGTAATTATAGTTAATGATTTAAAGTTATACTGGAGCACATAAGAAATTTGGATTATTTCCCAAATTTCCTTCAGCCCTCTGGTGCCACCTGCAGGAAACACATATAAGCACATACACTTTTTTGGAATTGCCCTCTGGGTAGGACTAAGCTAGGCAGCTGGAAGCCCTGGGTTTTCTTCCCCAGTTGTCTTGTTGGCTCATTTCCCTGGCTCTAAACAGCATTTCTCCACCCACAGTACCGGGGAAAGTCAGACTGGAAGAACAGTGTCATCAGTGGCTGTATCACTGGAGGAGCCATTGGTTTCCGAGGTTAGTAAATAGCTCTCAAGTGCTTTTCTTTTGTGGTCCAGGACATCGTGCTGATGTTGACATTTCCCAACATGAGTGTTCTAAGGATGCTTGATATTCTTCCCTCTGACAGATAAATCCTGACTGCTTCTGTGTTGATGCGGTTCTGGAAACTTGCTTATATCTCCATCTAAGTTAGGCTTTTTCATCCTTGGCACTCTAGAGATTTTGTACCAGTTAAAATCTTTTCCTTTCTTTTTAAACATTACTTATTTTTATTTGTATGGTTGTTTTGCCTGCATGTATAGGTCTGTGTACCACATGCGTGCCTGGTGCCACCGGAGGGCATCAGGTCCCCTGGACTGGAGCTATAGATATTAGTGAGTCATGTGGCTGGTCATCTGCAAGAGGAACAAGTCCTCTTTTTTAACTGCTGAGCCATCTCTCCAGACCCCCCCCCCCCAGATAAATCTTTGCCAATGTGTGCAGTGGGGTCACGTACACTGTAGGCTCTTTGGCCAGATGCCCACAGCTTTTTAGGATGGGACAACTAGAAGCATCCCCTGCTGTTGTCAGAAGCCATGTGAGGGGGGGGAAATCACTCATAGTCAACCATAGAGATAGCTCTTGCCTAGAAAAAAGAGCTTCTATGTTGAGTGTGTGAGACAGTGTGCTCATGATAAATAGTTGCCATGTAGGATAGTGTAGGAGCCTAGCTACGTCACTCCAGCCCTTAGCAGTCCACATATGCAGGCTGTGCTGAGACTGATTTCCTGGCATTTCAAGTTTCTGACCATTTTTTCCCTTATTTTATACAGTTGTCAGGGTTTTGTTTGTTTTCCAGTTCTGGGAACCAGACCCAGGTCCTTGTAAATACTAAGCAGTTTAGTACTGAGCTACAGCCCCAGTCCCATGGGTCATTTTAATTTTTGCATATAGATTTTAATAGCTGTGTCTTTTTGCATTTGGGGACTCTTAGATTTCTACTAATTGAAAGCTAAGGGCACACTAGACATGATGATACATGCATGTAAGCCTACCATTCAGGAAGAGTCAAGGGACCTTACTCAAAAAAACTAAGGGGGCTGATTGAAGAAGTGGCTCAGCTCAGATTATGTACATTCTTGTGGAGTTCCATTCCCCACATCCTCACAGCACCCTCAGGCACCTATGTACACATGGCATTCACTGTCTCTCTCTTCCTCTCTCTCTCTCACATACACACGCGCACACACACACACGCACACACACACACACACGCACACAATACATTTAAAATACAAGGGGGACAGGGAAGGACAGAGGAAAGATAAGTGCAGACATCCTTGAAATGTTAGATTATCGGCTAGAAAGAAGCCAGCCCTCATCTCCTTCCTGTTCCAGTGTGGAACATTGGCCTTAAGGATTTGAACTTTCCTAGAAGCAGCTTGTATTGCTGGGCTGCTCTCCATCACTCACAGTTTGACTTACCCCAGCAGAAGCTCTCATCTTCCAAGAGCCAGTGATCTGCCATCAGTAAAGCTACACTGGCTCCTCTCTGCCATGTGTGGTCTTCCTATAGTGTAGCTTTTTTAGGGCTGTGAGCTCAGCTCCCCCTAGCATTGCTTTGATCACCTTCCCAGGAATTTATTCCATAAACAGATCAGGGTATAAGACCATATGCTTTCATTTGATTCCAAGAGCCTCTTCCCTTAACTGGTTCTTGACTGTGAGGGGCTTGTTCCCTACAACTGGAATCAGTAAATGTTTAGAATTAGAAGAGGTAAGCAAATGTATAGTTAAATGAAGCTCAGTGGTTTGGATGGGATATGTTGCTTCATTGAAGTCTTAATGAGGCACGATGAGTTTGAATGACTGAACATGCTTAAATTGGTTTCTTTGCATCTGTGGTGCAAACTTTTTGTAAGTACAGTCCAGTGTAGCACCTGTTACTGTGGTAATGCTGCTTATGTTTGCTTTGCAGCTGGTGTAAAGGCTGGGGCCATAGGTTGTGGAGGTTTTGCTGCTTTCTCTGCTGCAATCGATTATTACCTACGATGAAAGAAACGCCTGGAAGGAGGGAGGATGCCCGCCACCTTCAGAGCTGTTTTTTGGAGCACTTTCTACACTCTTGGCATTGCTTCAGGGGCGAAGCCAATTGTTTCCCTCTTGGTGGTATGAGGGAACTATCTCGTTGTTCTCCGCCTCCAGCCATTGGAACAGCCACACTTTTCTACTTCTGAATTCCAAATAGGTTTGTCAGGGTAGATTGTATGCCTCCTTGCAGTAAAAAGACCAGGAGGCAGTGTGTTGACTGTTAAGAATTGAGCTCAGCTCAGGCTCAGTCCTGACCTCACTTGGCTCTCCAGCTATGAACAGGGAGGCGGCAGTATGTTTGCACATAGCCAGGAAGCTCTTCTGCCTTGAAACTCTATGCAAGCATTCATATTGAGTACCAGGGCAGGACAAAGTAAACTTAGGCCATCCAGGAAAGTATCTCATTTCAATTACTATCTTTGATATCCTTGTTAAAAATAGGTATACGGGGGCTGGCAAGATGGCTCAATGGTTAATAGCACTTGGCTGTTCTTCCAGAGGTCCCAGCACCCATATTATGGCTCAAAACAATCTGTAACTCGCGTTCCAGGGGTCCAAGGTCCTCCCTCTTCTGACCTCTGAGGGCACCAGACCCCACTGCATAGATATACAGCTTCCACACATAAGGCTAGCTAGCCCAAAGAGTGACAGACAGTTCAATGGGAAGACCGGGTAGTCTCTAAAGACCTCTGGGAACGCTAGTCTCACGGTTTGTGGAAACTGTATCTTTGTCACCACTCTGTTATCTGGGCCTCTCCCCAGAAGCACAGTCTAGCCATGTTCTCACATGCACTGCAGTATGCTGCAAACTCCCAGTGGGCCGGCTGATGCTCATGCATGTAGCTTGCAGAGCCCAGCCCAGTTTAAAGACACACAAGTACCTTCCTGTGGTTATCCTGCCAACTCATCATAACCACACCCCAGATCAAATGTGGAAGGCCTGCTCACTACCACCCTTCTTCCCCATTAAGCTTTTCTTTGGCTTTAGTTTTTTATTTCAACAGTTGAGCCCAGTTATACCATGGCAGAAAACAAGCCTTTTGTGTTTGGTCTGTGCTGCTGGACTACTTCACCGCAGTGTACGGTGAAGAAGGAATAACGGACTCAGTCCTGCCCCACTGTCAGCTGCGTAGGAGGCTCAGCAAAGACCTGTAACTGGCTGCCTTCACCTAGCATCCAGTCCTTTTTCCTGACTGTATACGAACCCTTCCACGCTTTCGTTGCTTTCTTCATCTCTATTCATCCTTAAGCAGAATTCAAAGACTCAACTTCAACACTGAGTCATTTGAATGTGTTTGTATATAAGTGATGATATCAGAGCCAGAGAAGCATCTTTTTGCTGCTTCCTTGGAATGGTGTTAGTGCACAGGGCTCATGTTCTTCTCTGCTGAATCCTTTCATCCTTTCATTTTGCTGAGGGAAAAACCAGGGTTTAGCATACACCTTTAATCTCAGTAATCGGCAGACAGGCAGGTGGATCTCTGAGTTTGAGGCCAGCCTGGTCCACAGAGAGAATTTCAGGGCAGCAAGAGCTACATACTGAGACCTTGTCTTGAAAAATGGAGAATACCCAAAGCTTCATACATGTGAGGCCGCTAGTCCCCAGTGAATTAACTCTGTATGATACCTGCCCTGTTTTCATAAGCATGAGGCTTCATTACTGAAAGACCAGCTGGAGCATAGGAGTGTTCCCAATACCTGTAAATTCTTCATCTGGGAACACCCTGAAGCAAGGATAGTTTCTACCTGGTACTTGTCAAAGTGCTCAGGTGCCTAAGGCCTTTGACCAGCTGGTCACCCACATGAGCCCCAATACAAGAAATGTTGCCAACACAACTGTCTTGGCAAAGAAGACCCTCCAGGCTGTCAGTAGACATCAGTTGACAAGCCGAGCCTTGTCCATGTGGACTATTCAATCAAGAAGAGATGAATAGCTTCCTGTTTTAGATGGCTGCAGGGTCAGTATGAGCTCATAAACCAAACAGTAATTTGCAGACACATCTGTTCCTGATCTTTGGAATAAACAGTGTCCAATGGCTTCGGCTGGTGGAAGTCCCACAGAAACCCTACTGGTTCTTCCAAAGAGGGGGTGGACTCTTGGTGGAGGATGCAGGTCTCTGACAAGCAAATTTAACCAAAGGCTGCCATAAAAGACATACCAATTTTGAGGAAAACGTAAGTTTGTGGATGGCCAACGGGGCACCTCTGCCGTCTTTGCCAGGAACACTCATGACCAGGTCCATAGTGAGTATCCTATGAAGGGAACTACAGCAGTGATAACTTAGAAATGTGTACAGAGTGAGAAGAGGTCTCACCTCACCAACTGCCATAGTCCCCAAAAGTCAGAAGAGAGGTTCCTGGAAACATCTGGGTGCAGCTGGGAGGACTTAAATATTTAGGTTGGTGATCTTCCCTGGACTACTGAGAACACAAACATCCACACCACAGGGCTGCTTTTGTGCAAATGTTGGGGCTTTGCATTTTTTTAATTAACATTTCCCTCTCACGTGGTTTACATCAATTTATAATAATCTACATTAAGTTTAAACAGAACAGAGACAAAAAAAAAAATATATCCATACCAACTTATTAGGGGTCCCATCCTACCTTGTCAGCAAAAGCTGGCAGCTCTCATTCACTGCCCAAGCAAGTACAGGCATGCCTGAGATTCCTGGACCCTGTGTCCCAGTGCCCTGCTGGCAGTGATGGGGTTCTGGGCAGCACGGCCCCTGTCGCAGGAAAAACACCAGACACTTCCTTGGTGTACCTCAGTTGAGGTCTGGCACCTGATTCGCCCTACTTGGGGTGGGATTTATAAATAATAGGAACCTTTAATAATTCTCAGCTCCTCCTCCAGCCTTCCTGCTGTTATATTGCCTAAGCAACCTGGGGACTTCAGTAGCTAGTGCCCAGAAGCCAACATTCCCTGTTTCAGAGACAGGAGGCACTGTTTTGATGGGCTCTGGTAATCTGTTACTGCCAATTCTTTGGAAGCAAGAACGCCACACACCACCACTTGAGTGCCAAGATAGTAGCTGGATGATGTGACCTCTATACTCACGGGCATTTCCCTTCACCTGTTTGAGACAGCAAGGTTCCTTGTTTAAACTGGTAATGGGCAGCTGGGAAGTTGGTATCCCTTTCTCCTGTATGCACAAACTGTACCGTTCTGTCAAAGACAACAGGAATGAACAGGACCCAAAAGAGCTCTGCCTCTCACCTAGCAGACACAACAGCTTGGGGGCCAGCAAACCCATCTTTAGACTTAGCCCTGAGCACACATAATGAGAGCTGGTCTCCCCAATCCTGAGGGCCAAGAATCAACTCTGCCACATAGAAGATACAGGAAGCTGTGTGGTAGTCCCCTATGACAGGAGCACCTTTTTTTCCCTGGTAAAAAAGGCTGGTAGTTGCTCCTCAGACTGAAACAGTGCTTTGGGAGTAAATCTCTCTAGTAACAAGCAATAGGTTGTAGAGCTGGGAATGACACCCACCGACCCTGTCCTCTAGAGCCCCAGCAGAACACACAAGGGAGGCAGCCTGTCCTCAATTTGTAGAATATTTGGGATTACCCACAGGGCTGGATTTAGGAGCTGGTGCAGTGCCAGGGCAGGACCATTCCAGTTGGGTTGTGCCTTCTGCTCCTAGGTCTGAAGCACGCATTGCAATGTGGCTGCCCCGTGGCAGTGCTTGGCTGTTGAGAGTGTAAAATCTAAGGCAAAAGTACCACGAGGTATGTGAGGTTCCAGGTTCCAGGACAGAGCCTGCTTTCATCTGGACACCTGACTCAGCCACAGAATTTGCCCTCCAGGAGTCTGGGCCCCACTAGGACAGCCTCTGCAGGTCTTCACTGTGAAGACTCGTCACTGCTTCCTGCTCCATCCACCTTGTTCCTTCTCTGCCTGGGAGTCCACCACACCCTCAGGTGCATTCCTGACCTCTCCTGATAACAGGACACTTGTGAGTCATTACACTCAAAGAAAACACAAGGGAAAAGGGAACAGAATTAAGCAGTAGAAGAAACAGTTGAAAATGCCTCATGGTAGGCAGGAGATACACAGATAAACCCCAGAAAGGGTAATTCTCAAATAGAACATTCCAGAAATCAGCTCTCCAGCTCTGTGCTAAGCTGAGGATTAGTGTGTCTCTGTCTCCTTATTCAACATTTGCACAGACAGCAAGGAAAGCAGGTGTGCTTCCACAGGTGGAGAGCAATGAGGCCAAGGGCGGCACGCAGCACATCGGACAGGATACCACTGCCCAGGGCCTCTGCAGAGCTTTCCAATGATGGAGCAAAACCCCACGCTGCACATGCATGCAGCAGGCTGGGAAGATGGAGAGGGCAGAGACACTGCCGGGAGCCTGCAATCTGGGAGCAGGGCCAAGAGAGGAGAAGTTGGCAGCAGTTACACAGCACAAAATAATAAAAGTTCCCAGACTGGACTCAGGCAGAAAGAAAGTGTCGGGAGAAATGGAAGAGCAAAGCAGGCTGTCTGTGCTCACACCAGCTCGGCCACTGCCTTTTCTGCATGACAAATACACATAAAACAATTCTCAGACAGCACGGAGGGAGCATCAGACATACGCAAAGGTACAGAGGTGGGAGCTGGGGTGTGGTGAGGAGGCTGGGGGCCAATCAGCTGGCTTTGTACAAGGTGGCACAAAAGATGCACGAGTTCCAGTTCTTGGAAGGTGGCTTCCTTTGGACGCTGGAGTGCTAGGCTGGGGTGGGGGGGGTTCTGTTGCAGTCTTTCAAGTCTATGCTGGGCCCCAGCTGGAGGGCTGGCTCTGGCCACCTCCCACAGCTGCCTGCCTCAGGCTACACATCTGTGGAGAAGTACAGTGTGTTCCGCTTCAGTTCTGCGAAGGAAATGGGAGGGTGCTGCAGGTAGTAAAGTAGGACCTGGACCTGTGGAGAAATAAGGAGACCGAGGTTGTGGTCCTAATGTTCCAGACACCCCTCGCCCCTCACCTTCTATGTCAAGAAGGAATGACTCCTGAGCTGCAACCAAGTCTGTTGTCCATGTAACACCCACCCCAGGCTCATTCTGGCTTCTTCCCCACCCCCTTTTTTTGGAAGCCCAGGTTCCCAGGTTCCTTCACTCTTTACGC